AGTAAGCTCATGCAGCCGGTCCACCCTGTCCTCTCTCCTCCCGTCGGGACGGGTCGGTCATAATAGCGTTCAGAAACACCCTCCACGTCACAACACAGTTCAATTTCTCAATCCGGAGGTCAGTTCAAATCTGTACTGTGGGCGTTCCCTTGTACTCTACTGTGTACGTGGGGCTCTGGGTCCAATCTCCTGATCACCATTGCATTCACTTAAATAATAAATTATACTGGCTACCCAGAGAAAATGAGTGCATTATACGTGTGATCCATCACAGTCGAGCTCACACTGGGGGGGGGGGGGCTCTAAATACGAAACAAGAAATGGACACGAGGTTTCGAGTTTTAACATAATTGTTTAAAAAATAAAGATCGGTGAGAAAAAAAGACTCTCCAAAGCAGTTATTTTCATTCTGCTGACAAAAATATACAGTCATTCATAGAAGGGGCCTCTTAAACTTTACAATGGCATAGGGCCCCAGCAATGCCATCATCCGGCTCTGCTGCCGAGTGTCATCCCAATGAAGTAATTTGCAGGTAACTTTAGCATTGGGATGCTTGGCCAATACCCAGTTACATTGTGATTGTGTGTTTTCTAGCTTTATCAGCAAACTGGATAACCCATACAGAACAAAGGGGAGAATGTAGAAAACTCCGCAAAGTGCCAGTCGGATAATTAACCAAGGCCCTTCTTGATGCTGTTCCAGACATACAGTACACGGGCGTTTACAAACTAAAGTGCCTCTGTGGTAGTAGCTACATTTGAGAAACCAAACGACATATCTCGGACCTCATCCGCGAACATAAAGCAGACTTGAAACACGGTAGAACGAACTCCTCTGCCGTGGTAGATCACTGTTTTAATTCAGTGGGCTCACATGACATTGACTTCTCCAAGACGGAGGTTCTTTGCAAACCAACCGACTACCATGAGAGATTCGTTCATGAGGCCATTCACATATACAAGCACAGAGCCAATTTCAACCGAGAAGATGGATTCTGGCTTAGTAACCATTGGAAAGATGTTTTAAACCATTTCGGTTCTTAATTAATTGTATTTTACGATGAGCTTCAGACCACAGCTCTTTCGCTGGCATTGACTCTTAATACCTCTCACACCACGGTTAATGGTATGTTTTACATCATGGAGTATACCAGCGCGTCGCAGCTGTCTCTCTCCCCCTCCTCCGTTCCGACCATGGATGAACTCGTCCGTCTGAACGGGGCTCGTAGCTATCCGTGGTGCTAAAGTTGAGAGTAAGAATCCACCCATTTTTTCGCCATATAGCATTGTGACATATAACGACTTATTGTTGGTAGCTTAGCTGATTGGAGAATATATAGAGTTTATTGATAACATTGAGGTAGTTTATATTTTAGTTTTTTATTGGTTTACTATATGGTATTCATTATATAGTGTAGTGTATATCCAGTTACTGTTAATAGCTCAGCTAATTGAAGAATATATTGAGTACATTTATTATATTGATGTAATTTAGACTTAGGTTTTTTCACATCGGTTTACTATTTGATAGTCGATTGGATGCAGCCCCCTTTGGCGTCCATGTACTAGGTGCCTCTGTAGATGTGTAGGCTTTGACTTTAACATAGCTATTTCTATGACCAGTCACAAGCTAATCCCTCAGTTATTTCAATGCTAAATTATCCTGTTTGATTTGTACTAGGTGCCTCTGTGGATGTGTAGGCTTTGACTTTAACATAGCCATCTCTGTGACCAGTCACAAGCTAATCACGCAGCTATTTCAATGCTAAATTATCCGAACCAAACATTAAACTAATTTTCAATGGTACAGTATATTTTTCAAGTGATGGTATCCCAAACTTTCGCAGCAGCTTAAATTCCCTTTTCACACCATCAATATGTAAACTACCCCTCCCCCCCTCGCCTGTCCGCACATGTTCACCCCCTCTACACCGTGCATCATGCTAAGTCCGCCAATTAAATGCTAACTTTTTATGCTAATTCCTTTGTCAAGGCGCTCTGTTTCTTCTCACACAGCTTAAAGGTCGCGGTCTGAGCTTGGCTGTGTTCGCTCCAGCGCTCTCCTCCAGACAGTCTCGTCCCTTCACCTGATGAAGGCCACTTGTGTTGTGGCCGAAACGTCGTGAGAATTTTATTGTGTTATTTTATTTTATTAATTTATTGCTTTATTCTCATTCTACGTGACTTTACCGACAGAACCAAAGAAGAAGGCCCTTCTTGTTGCGAGGGTCAAAGATCACCGCTGCGCAACCCTGCCACCTGAAACGATAATAGTTCGCTTATAATTATGATTTTTTTTTATTTTAGTGTGCACATTTACACGCGATAATCACATCTCATCTCAAGCATTTGAAAAGAGCACCCTAAGTGGCAACTGTTCTCTGTGTGACACACGGTTATTCAGCACCTAACCTGCAAGCAGGTCAAGTGCTGTCTGCTGCGAGCAATCCCAATTGAGTGTTTCGCAGAGAAGTTTTTTTTTACATGACAATTTTCGCCTGTGATGCTGACACACGATGGCCATACTTTATTTTAAATAATGTCTTGGGATCGTTTTTATTTTTTACGTTGAACTTTATTGAGTAAATCACGAGCCCGTTAGTGCGCCACGGGACTGCACGTCATTCGAGTGGTGCATTCACAATGCAACCGGACCATTTATTAGGGGGGGCTGACGCGAAGGGGGGAGTGAGGCCCGTGGCCCCCCATAAACTGGGGGGGGGGGAGAGGGGGGCATTGTGACAGGCGTAGAAGAGTTGTAGTTGTAATCTGCTCCACGTTTGTCATGATAAAGGAGACCTGTGCAACCTGCACGGTGTGTGACGTTGTGCCGCTGGATGTGTGATGTGCGTGCTCCTTGGTGTGACGTGCGTGCTCCTCGGTGTGACGTGTGTGCCGCTCAGTGTGATGTGTGTGGGTGTAGGAGAGGCCCATTACCCTGGCGCATGGCAGTCGATGACAAGTTCTACCGCTTGATCTGCGATGGCTACTGCATCCAGCCACCCCCCTGCTGTCCACCGCAAGTGTAAGCCGCCGCCCCCCACCCCCCCCAAACCTCCCACGCCAGGTTTTATCCACTGCTAGACTGATGCGTTTCTATTGTCGATGCAGGTGGCTGACGGAGGAGAGTGCGAAGTGTTTGTTCTGGGAGATTCTTTGGTTTTAATTGTAGTGATTCAATTAATTGATTGAACAATTGCTTAAGAGTGAATTATGTGATATGTGTTATTGGCAGGTGAGTTGTGCTGGCTGGTTCAGTGTCGTTGACATTGCCATCATGAACCCTCTTAGTCTGGAATGTCCTACTTCCAGCTGTACGTGATGTTGCGACCCACAGACTCCTCACATACAGTGAGGGAAAAAAGTATTTGATCCCCTGCTGATTTTGTACGTTTGCCCACTGACGAAGAAATGATCAGTCTATAATTTTAATGGTAGGTTTATTTGAACAGTGAGAGACAGAATAACAACAAAATCCAGAAAAACGCATGTTAAAAATGTTATAAATTGAGTTGCATTTTAATCAGGGAAATAAGTATTTGACCCCTCTGCAAAACATGACTTAGTACTTGGTGGCAAAAGCCTTGTTGGCAATCACAGAGGTCAGACGTTTTTTGTAGTTGGACCACCAGGTTTGCACACATCTCAGGAGGGATTTTGTCCCACTCTTCTTTGCAGATCTTCTCCAAGTCATTAAGGTTTCGAGGCTGACGTTTGGCAACTCGAACCTTCAGCTCCCTCCACAGATTTTCTATGGGATTAAGGTCTGGAGACTGGCTAGGCCACTCCAGGACCTTAATGTGCTTCTTCTTGAGCCACTCCCTTGTTGCCTTGGCCGTGTGTTTTGGGTCATTGTCATGCTGGAATAACCATCCACGACCCATTTTCAATGCCCTGGCTGAGGGAAGGAGGTTCTCACCCAAGATTTGATAGTACATGGCCCCGTCCATCGTCCTTTTGATGCGGTGAAGTTGTCCTGTCCCCTTGGCAGAAAAACACCCCCAAAGCATAATGTTTCCACCTCCATGTTTGACGGTGGGGATGGTGTTCTTGGGATCATAGGCAGCATTCCTCCTCCTCCAAACACGGTGAGTTGAGTTGATGCCAAAGAGCTCCATTTTGGTCTCATCTGACCACAACACTTTCACCCAGTTGTCCTCTGAATCATTCAGATGTTCATTGGCAAACTTCAGGCGGGCATGTATATGAGCTTTCTTGAGCAGGGGGACCTTGCGGGCGCTGCAGGATTTCATTCCTTCACGGCGTAGTGTGTTACCAATTGTTTTCTTGGTGACTATGGTCCCAGCTGCCTTGAGATCATTGACAAGGTCCTCCCGTGTAGTTCTGGGCTGA